TTTTATTCTGAAAACAACACTTCCATTTTTCTAACATAAGTTCAGTCAATTTATGTCTCGGGAATGTAAAAAAAAAAAAAAAGGGAAGAAAATTAAGTAACAATAAAATAATGTGGGACTCGAACCTGAGTCGCCTGATTGGGAGTCCTACGCCGGTCCACAAGACCATTAACGCACTCAAATGCTCAACCAGTTCTACTTAATTAACTGTAAGATAGGCTTATCGTGGCTTTTCACGTTGACGCCCATGCACGCTTAGACGTAAAACACAGTCTGACGATGTTAACATTCGTTTGATTTTGGGTGTAGCTGTTCTAATTGATCTAAATTTAATTGGAAAAGGTAAAGGGTGTCAACTGAACTAAAATCCTGAAATTCAATGAAATAAACTCGTACAATCCTTGGTTTCAGTACGAAACACACGTGTTCAACGGATGCGAGAAGCCTATTTCTTTTGTTAATTCCTTTGTTGAATCTTGCGTTAACAATAAAATGTTTTCCATTGAGGCGAAAGGATTAAACGCCGAGATCTTTTTTCACGCTTGAGTGCCTCTGAATGGGGAATATTGAAGCGGAAAATCACGATTTACAGCACTTAGGCAGCATTTTATCCCACATAATGATACTTTTTTGAAGAGGAAATTGCATATTGAATACAACTGTAGTTTCAAAATTCAAAATTTCGCCGTATTTAAAAAGTCGAGGTAATTTTTTTGGAAAAATTTCACCAAAACTTTCCTCATCCTACCGTAGGCGGCGCTATAATATATTTCATTCTCGCACGTGCACCGTATGCAGAGTTGGCTAGCGCATTATCGTGTGTGTATCGCATTGCAAGGGGATGGGGGCGGGGCTGACTGCCTGTTTTGTATACATGTACAGTTTATAGCCCTTTTATTACGACTTTTAATATATTTATTTCGCTTGTTCCCCCTCCCCCCATCTCAAACGACACACACACACCACATCCCGCCTCCCTCTTGCTCATGTGTATATACCGGGCCCTTTTATTAATATCCTTATACGCGTCTCTTTTGTTCCATTAAAGTTGACTTTTATTTGGATTGCATTTTTTTCACTGACCTTTATTATCAATTGTTTTAGTTGTAGACCTATTCAACTTTTATTCGTGAGATAAATTGAAATTGTGATGCTAGGATAAGATTGGGTAAACGGGTGATACACAGATCGGGCGGCGGCTATCGCGCTAACAATGCACGCACTGAGAATGAAATATATATATAGCGCCGCCTACGTTAGGATGAGAAAGTTTTGTGAAATTTTTCCAAAAATTTTACCTCGACTTTTTAAATACGGCGAATTTTTGCATTTTAAAACTATAGATGTATTCAGTATGCAATTTCCTGTTCAAAAGTATCATTATGTGGGATAAAATGCTCCTAAGTGCTGTAAATCGTGATTTTCCGCTTCAATATTCCCCATTCAGATGCACTCAAGCGTGAAAAAAGATCGCGGCGTTTAATCCTTTTCCCTCAATGGAAACATTTTATTGTTAACGCCAGATTCAACAAAGGAATTTAACAAAAGAATAGGCTTCTCTGCATCCGTTGAACACGTGTGTGTTTCGTACTGAAACCAAGGATTGTACGAGTTTTATTTCATTGAATTTCAGGATTTTAGTTCAGTTGACACCCTTTACCCTTTTCCAATTAAATTTAGATCAATTAGAACAGCTACACCCAAAATCTAACGAATGTTTTACATCGTCAGACTGTGTTTTACGTCTAAGCGTGCATGGGCGTCAACGTGAAAAGCCACGATAAGCCTATCTTACAATTGTAATTAAGCAGAACTAGTATAACATTTGAGTGCGTTTAATGGTCTTGTGGACCGGCGTAGGACTCTCATCAGGCGACTCAGGTTCGAGTCCCACCATAATTATATTATTCTTTTTTTTGTCACCTTCCAACTTTTTATATCCCCATGCCCAAACATAAATTTACTGAACTTATCTTTTAAATGAACTGAAGTTTTGTTTTCAGAATCCCAAACAAACTACCAAGAAAACAAACAAATCAATAACAAACAGGTATTTTTTTCACTGTTATTTATTGTGATGATTTAATATCCCTTTATTCAAAGAACTATGCACAGCATTCCAACAATATTTTAAGTACACATTTACTTTTAAAATTCACCTACACAATATTTACACTGCAAGATAAGATTTATCGGACTTAAATTTGTACAACATTTGCTTTTGCTGCAATTTTCAGAAATAAATGGATTTGGAGGATTAGTATGTTTTAGCAAATATTGTTAAAATGACTTTTTTCACGTTTGGGCTTGTAGATGCTGGAAAAGCCAAGAAAACCAGTCATGTATTTGCAGTCTGGTGACCCCACTTATAAGATAAAACGGAGCAATTAATAGACTTTGGGGAATTGTAAGGTCAGAGAATCAGTCTAGCAGACTTATACCTCTTCACAGGTGTATAATCAATTGCAAAGAAAATGCGGAATAACTAATTATAAAACAATTGGGAGAAATTTTTGAAAAATAGCCAGTTTTCTCCAATGCTTGTCGGCTGACCAGCGTTGGAAAAGTACCATTTTTCTTTAAAATGTCAGCACATCAGGAGCCACAATTTTACAGGATGCTTTAGACTGTCATTCCCCAACAATCCAGTAAGGTATTTCGCGATAATTTGATCATTTCGTTTTGTGATGTTTGCAAATGTTGTATCTTCCCTTTAAAGAAAGGCAGTAAACATTTATTGTTTTTTACAGATGAAATAAAGAAATGAAGTCAGAATATCACACAATATTGGAAAAGAATGTTGCAACCTGACGCCACTTCAGCGGTTGTGTGCAAAGTCTATGGAGCGTCAAGAAAATTTTCTCTTAAGTATTTCTCAGTCCCAGATTCATGTTTTATCATAGTCATCATTTTTGCAATGGATGACTTCATTGAGATGATATGAAGAAAAAGAAGCATCAGGTTGCAACATTCTTTCCCAATTTGTACATGAAAAAATATAGTATTGACAATGTGATAGATAGACGGAGAGGCTCTGCTGGCAGAAAATTGTGTGCTTAGCAGCGCTATGAAATTGGGCCCAGTTCAAATCACTCATCTTCATTTGTTTCATGCCTTCTGGACCTTACACCCTAATTACCTGATAAACGTGCTCTGAAAACTTGTACATGTATATTTATATCAATATAATTAAACCATTAATTAGTATAATTACATTACGTACAGATGACTACCCCCCTCCTTGAATAACCATTCCTGGCCCATTCTCATGCCGTTGGCTTGTCTCTAACAGGCCCCAGAAACTCCAAGAAAACAAACTTGCAGAGTTGTCCTACATGTAAGCAACATTTGTGACGTGAAGATTCATAATTATGATGAACATTTCAATGCTGCCTGACTGACTGTCTGACCGAGTCACTGAGTATTAACTGATCGAGTCAGTCACTATTATCACTGACTGACCGAGTCACTGACCGCGCAATGAGTCACTGACCAAGTCACTGAGTCACTGAGTGAATCACTGAGTCACTGAGTAGATGACTGAGCCACTGAGTCACTCAATGAGTCACTGAGTGATTCACTAACAGAGTCGCTGAGTCGCTGACCAAGTCACTGACTGAGTCACTGACTGAATCTGACTTAATCACTGAGTCGCTGATCGAGTCACTGAGTTGTTGACCGAGCTAGTCACTGACTGAGTCCTGACTGAGTTACTGAGTCCAGCTTAACTAGGCAAGCCTACTTTGTTTATGCCATGAGAGTCCAGCCTCTCTCCAGAACTGTTGTTTTCTCCTGCATAACCACCTTGCCAAAGCTAAATAGAGAAATATTCCAAGACAAATTTCCCAATGTTAAGAACAATTAAATCACTCTTAAATTAATCAACAGTATCGTTCCATTATTTATTTTTGGAAAATCCCTTTGCAAGCAGGGGTTTTTGGAATGTACAAATTTAAACAATCTCAAGACTATAGGATAGGACCACCTCAGGAAACTGGTGCCCTGTTGTCCTTGGCCCACTTCTTCATGACACGGATGATGTATTCCACCTGTGGGTTACCGGTGTTGCGCAAGATTTGAGGATGTCTTGCAGTGTTTCTCTGTAGAGGAAAAAAAATGACAAAAATCTAGTGGCTTGAACTTCACTGGGTTTTGTGCACATGAAAATGAAGCTATTAACAAGATGGACTTTGCGTCGAGGCGATGTCAATCAATATTAGGATTTGCCCTTCACCGATGTATAAACACTGTATACTCAGTGTTTTACCTCCCGAGTGAAAGTTGGAAAAATAATCACTTGGGTGGGATTCGAACCCATGACTCGACCATGGAGCTTACGGGGTTGGTTGGCTGGCCAGGCAACCAATTCTGTAAGCTTGATGGTCCAGTGGTTAAGACGTCTGCACTAACAAGCAGGAGGTCATGGGTTCGAGTCCCAACCGAGTGATTTTTTCCAATTTTCACTCGGGAGGTAACGCACTGAGTATACAGTGTTTATACGTCAGTGAAGGGCAAAACCTAATAGTGAAAATGAAAGCTGTTTTTAGAATATGGGGACAAAGGAAAATCCATAAAGATCAATGAAGTTGAACTAGAGGGCTAAGAAGCTGAAAAGTATTCATGAAAATTTGTAATAAAAAGCCGTATCCTCTCTGAGTGATCCCCGTTTGATATTTCCCAGGTCTGCATCGTGACTTTGGGCGTGATCCCCGCTGCATGGCATATGCGGGTTGAGGCTTCTGACTAGCGCCCCTTTGACAGAAACATTGACAATTAGGGAACCGCCAACATTGGGCTGGATAGCTCAGTTGGTAGAGCACCGGAGTGATATACTGTACTTATTGAGATGTAATTGGTCAGTACGCACTGTTTGATTGATGTACTGTGGTCACCTGACCAAAGGTTGAGATCTAATTGGTCAGTGTGCACTGCTGATTGACAGAGATGACACCCACCTTGGTTCATGACCAGCTATGATCTGCTGGAATACGCCCACGCATGCCCTCGCTTGCCTTCCCAGTATTCAGGATTGGGGTCCAATCTTTCCAGGACACCGAAAGCCTTGGTCGCATAGTAGAACTGGCCATCTACCGATAGAAAAGATGAGATTTGAGGATCGAGAGACCGTGACAATTATATTTTGAAGTCGAGCAAAAAAAATCAGAATTCCGAATGACAAACCTGAACTTTTCGATCATATCGCCACAGTGTTGACAAAGTGATGAATTTGTCCCAAATCAATATTTTTAAGCAGTTTGGGATTTTTGGCTATTCTAATATTTTATGATGCCCTCTACATGCTTACCAAAGTTTGTGACACAAAAGTGCATCCTTCATTATTCAAGCTATAATGACACAAAGTCGTAAATGTGCAACAAATCTTTCTTTTTTTCTTTTTTGACGGGGGTTCGTATATTCTCGTTGATTTTACACGTGAAAACAATGTTGCAATCAGACGCCACTTTTGTCTTCACACATCATCTCAATAAAGATGAGTCACTGCAAAAATGTTTCACAACACGAATCTGCAGAAACATTTCCAATTTTGTTCAGAAATACTTGGAAAGTTTTCTTGACTCGCCATAGACTTTGTACACAACGGCTGAAGTGGCGTCTGGATATGTGCATTCTTTTTTACAAGTGTGTTATATTTAGATTGACATTTCCTCTACGATTTGGGTTTTGACGAAGTGACAAATGTGTTTTTGTGAAATCGGCTGCAGGTTTAGATTGAGTGACTAGATACTAATTTGGGGCTAATGCCAAAATCTTGACCAAACATACAACGGACAAAAATAGGGGATGATGTTTTACTTTGTAGCCGTCGTTGGCAATGAGCTACAGCAGGCTGAACGATTCGCCAGACGTCTCCATCTTAAGGTACAACTCCCAGGCTAGTCTGGCCTTACGATTCACGATGCCTGAACAACGAAAACAACACAAAGAAAGGTTATAAATACATAGGATACTGCTGTAAGAAAACACATTGGGGTCCACAAAAGATGTTCGATTCAGTGGATGCTCGTTTCAGCAATTTTCGGCCAGCAATGCTCAATGTAACTGTGTACAATATTTGGGGAGCCAAGCGGGATGTTCAATGTAGCAAATTTCTGTCGTACAATCTGCTTAAAATGTGATAGAACAAATCCAACATGGCAAGTATATGATTAACATGTGATGTTTACACGTTTAAACAAAAAAACTTTAAATCCGCTTACAAATTTTTCAAACATTTAAACTAAACCCGAATTATACAAACGGAACCTCCGTTCACGCAATCTTCCTTGGAGACAACCACACATAGCACCAATAATTAACGTTGTTTTCAAACCTACTTAATTTACAAAACCTTAGAAGCACCGTAGTACTTGATTACATTTGGGGAACACGTAGTTACATTTTTACTTTATCAACGACTGCCTGCTATTTACTATGTCAACCATTGTTGATTTATCATGTCAATCACGCCGGTCTGCAGATCAGACATAATGGGTAGGCAAAAGCCACTGTCAATGGCTAAACGTTTAAAACGGTTCTTAAAATATTTGCTTAACGTTTACAAAATGAAACGCAAAGTCACATCCTTAATATACGATCAGGGCGATGATTGCATGCTGGTTATGTCATTGTTAGAGACCCTTCAGTCTACCTCACACATGGGCAACATGTGCATCTCCCTAATGCCACTCTGGATTTTCCAGCAGTACATGAATGCATGCACGCGACGTGTCGTGACTTTAGTTGGACATTTGGTTGTGCAGTCACAATTGTGAGTGGTCAATACATTATGAGTTGAAGCTGAACAGGTGGATTCATTCTCATAATTAGCAACTTGGAAGTTGGAAGAGGAAACGTCATTCACAATTGACGGTAATACTCACAGCATCTTGCCAACCAGAGACACGTGTAGTCATTCTTGATCTTCTCACTCTGAATGAGCACAAAATCTGCAAAACAAGAGAAACGAAACCCACTCCAATTAAATCATGGTAAAACCAAGTGTTCCCACCAAACAGTGGTCTAGGAGGCACAGAAAGATCCCCATCCGGGTTTTAGACTTGTTTTTTTATGCCTATTTGCCCTGAACAAGGCTAAAAGCCACTCCAGATATACAGGGCTACAAGTCGGAGCAAAGCAGCTAAATCAACCACACCATCTCTGCCCTCATAGGCACCCACTTATAAGCCATCAGTGTGGGGGTTTGGTCAGTATCAAATGAGGGGAATAATGCTCATTGTGATTTTTGGCAAGGTATGCACCCCTCTAGTCGGAAAATATGTGACAGCATTGCAGCGGTGGCAGCTTTTTGGGTGCTATCACTTTTTTTTTTTTTTTTTTTAATGGCAGCCAAAACATGCCTGTTACAACATCCAATTTATCCGGTTCAAGCATATTGACGGCAATTTTGAAGACATAAATCAAAAGTGATAACACTGCCACCACTCACACTGCAAAGCTATCACACATTCTCCAACTCTAGATGTGCCTTTCAAAAATCGCTATGAGCACTGCTCTTTTTCAATCGTCTGGTACCGGTGGCCCATTTTTTGGACCAAAGCTGAGAGCCTATTACTCCTGGGTGGGGAGAAGCAATGAGTGACAAAGTGCCTTGCCCAAGGGCACACGCACCATGACCCCAGGCTGGACTCGAACCCACAACCTGCAGCTTTATCCGCAGACCATGAATCCAACGCCCTTAACCACGAGGCCACAGCACTCCACACTCCTCTTGAATCAGGACAGATCATAGGTTGGAGGGAAATAAGCACCAGGCAAGGAATTCCAAAGAGATGCAGCACGTGGGAAAACAAGCTATTGCAATATCTTTTTGTTCTACATCTAAGTATACGGCAACAGTATATGGATGAGAACAGACAGAAAGTTGAGCTTCTCTCTCAAACAGGGCCGACCATCGGTGGAAATTGATACAAAATTCCACTTTTCTTAGAAATAACAGCACACCAGGTGCCGTGATTTCACAGGATGCTTGAGACTATTATTCCCTAACAGTCAGGTATTTCATAATAACTTGGCAGTTTGGGTTTTTGATGTTTGCAAATGAAAGGCACCATGACTAGTTCAGGCCCCATGACGAGTCACTGCGCCATGACTGGCCACTATTGAGGGCGCAACAACAAAAATTGGGTCCGGGAGTCCAACCTACATGTACCTCCTCTGCTTCCTTGTAGTTGCCTGCTGTGGCTTTGGCCTGCGCATAGTTGTAGTTGAACCTATCGTCGCTGTAGAAGTAACTCTAGAAACGTAAACATACAAAAATGTCATCTTAGTTTTTCTGATAATTTTCCCACCTGCACTACTTTTTTCCCCTAAAAAGGACAAATACAGCTTAACCATGCCACAGAAACAACTATGAGCAAGTTGGGGCGAGACTAGTGGTCGATTCCTGACGTATTTGATGCCCGAGCACTAATATCAACATGCAAATGCCTCTTGTCAGACGATGGTCAAAATTGTTCACCAAATAAAGAGAATGGTCAAAAATAATTCTAAACACTTTTGGTCTTGAATATTACTAGAGCCTAGTAGAGGGTGATTGGCAAAAAATATTTTCAGGTTTTTGGAGAAAAGTTCAAAACGAATAGTGTCTAACATTAAATGCATTAGATAAAATGACCTGAGAGCAAATATGCAGTCCTATGCCCCCTGTCTGTCTGGCCTCAACTCCATTTTTCAAAGCTGTTAATGAAATAAAATGAATCAATAAAGATTCACTGCAACTTGAACATGTTGAAATACAGCGGTCATGGCGGTGCTGTTGAATTCATTGGTAACAAATTTCCCTGCTAAATCCAATATTTTTGGACATTTTAAACCGGAATTGTGGCATAAATCACTGAAGGGAGAAATGAGTAAAGTCCAGATATGGGAATCTTTCCAGTACGCCGAAAGGAAGTTGAATTTTGACAAGTAAATAGTCCAGACTTACCTGTTGTACAGGCCTAGCCTACCGCTACAGTATCCATAATGTTGATATCGGATAACCAAACAACAGGTGGCGCTCTTCACAATTAACGGCGTCATAATTATACAATCTCGTTTACGTAGTGTTGAGGGGTGCATACCTGCAAATAAACTCCCATAGACACTAGTGCTAAATGCCCATACTTCAAAATTCTTTGAAAAATACTCAAAACTCTCACAGGTATTCAAGCTGCACAGAAAAATGATAATCAACATGTCATCTTTCGTTTTCTTTTCAATTTTTGGTGGGTTGACCATTGACTTTTCGAGATATTTTCACCCAAAGAAGACGACCCCTATTTTCCCATAAGCGGAAAAGTAGCCATCTTGAAAAACGATCCCTCCACAACATGGCAAAATAGCGCCACTTTTGAGCCCAATAGCATCGAAAATGCTCAGAATTGGAAGCCCCAAGTCCGGGCCAGAGGTTCATTACCATATCTTTTCAATTCCCCAATTTTACGGCGCTCAGAACTCTCTAATATAGAATATTTTGAGGGTATAACTTTTATTCATGAGCTTGGCGGATCGATTTACCGGTGTGCACCCTTTAATAGCAGGCAACTTTTAGATTTTAACACAAAACCACATTCAGGACAAGCAGAATATCACCAAAGTCAATATTTTGAAGAAAAAAATGAAAGAAAAATATTATCCGAGGTCGATATGAAGCCCGAAAATAGTGGGTTTTTTTGCCCCTACTAAGCTGTAGAGCGCCCCCAGCGACAATAAATTGAGTTTCAGCTACTTTTCAGCTCAAAATGCCCCCCCCCCCCTTTTCAACTAGCAATTGTTGTAATCGGGTGATAGCCTACTGCTCCCTTACGATTTGGGAGAATCCGTTACGGAAAAAACCCTTGTTGATACCTTTAAAACACTTTTTCCCCCTCCCGTAGTTTTCCGCCCACTGAAAAGACCACTGCCGGGCACAGCGCATGCGCGAAACGGCCATCTTTGTTATTCTTTTTAATAGCAGGCAACTTTTAGATTTTAACACAAAACCACATTCAGGACAAGCAGAATATCACCAAAGTCAATATTTTGAAGAAAAAAATGAAAGAAAAATATTATCCGAGGTCGATATGAAGCCCGAAAATAGTGGGTTTTTTTGCCCCTGCTAAGCTGTAGAGCGCCCCCAGCGACAATAAATTGAGTTTCAGCTACTTTTCAGCTCAAAATGCCCCCCCCCCTTTTCAACTAGCAATTGTTGTAATCGGGTGATAGCCTACTGCTCCCTTACGATTTGGGAGAATCCGTTACGGAAAAAACCCTTGTTGATACCTTTAAAACACTTTTTCCCCTCCCCGTAGTTTCCGCCCACTGAAAAGACACTGCCGGGGCACAGCGCATGCGCGAAACGGCCATCTTTGTTATTCTTTTTAATAGCAGGCAACTTTTAGATTTTAACACAAAACCACATTCAGGACAAGCAGAATATCACCAAAGTCAATATTTTGAAGAAAAAAATGAAAGAAAAATATTATCCGAGGTCGATATGAAGCCCGAAAATAGTGGGTTTTTTTGCCCCTGCTAAGCTGTAGAGCGCCCCCAGCGACAATAAATTGAGTTTCAGCTACTTTTCAGCTCAAAATGCCCCCCCCCCCCCCTTTTCAACTAGCAATTGTTGTAATCGGGTGATAGCCTACTGCTCCCTTACGATTTGGGAGAATCCGTTTACGGAAAAAACCCTTGTTGATACCTTTAAAACACTTTTTCCCCCTCCCCGTAGTTTCCGCCCACTGAAAAGACCACTGCCGGGGCACAGCGCATGCGCGAAACGGCCATCTTTGTTATTCTTTTTAATAGCAGGCAACTTTTAGATTTTAACACAAAACCACATTCAGGACAAGCAGAATATCACCAAAGTCAATATTTTGAAGAAAAAAATGAAAGAAAAATATTATCCGAGGTCGATATGAAGCCCGAAAATAGTGGGTTTTTTTGCCCCTGCTAAGCTGTAGAGCGCCCCCAGCGACAATAAATTGAGTTTCAGCTACTTTTCAGCTCAAAATGCCCCCCCCCCCCCTTTTCAACTAGCAATTGTTGTAATCGGGTGATAGCCTACTGCTCCCTTACGATTTGGGAGAATCCGTTACGGAAAAAACCCTTGTTGATACCTTTAAAACACTTTTTCCCCCTCCCCGTAGTTTCCGCCCACTGAAAAGACCACTGCCGGGCACAGCGCATGCGCGAAACGGCCATCTTTGTTATTCTTTTTAATAGCAGGCAACTTTTAGATTTTAACACAAAACCACATTCAGGACAAGCAGAATATCACCAAAGTCAATATTTTGAAGAAAAAAATGAAAGAAAAATATTATCCGAGGTCGATATGAAGCCCGAAAATAGTGGGTTTTTTTGCCCCTGCTAAGCTGTAGAGCGCCCCCAGCGACAATAAATTGAGTTTCAGCTACTTTTCAGCTCAAAATGTCCCCCCCCCCCTTTTCAACTAGCAATTGTTGTAATCGGGTGATAGCCTACTGCTCCCTTACGATTTGGGAGAATCCGTTACGGAAAAAACCCTTGTTGATACCTTTAAAACACTTTTTCCCCCTCCCCGTAGTTTTCCGCCCACTGAAAAGACCACTGCCGGGGCACAGCGCATGCGCGAAACGGCCATCTTCGTTATTCTTTATAATAGCAGGCAACTTTTAGATTTTAACACAAAACCACATTCAGGACAAGCAGAATATCACCAAAGTCAATATTTTGAAGAAAAAAATGAAAGAAAATATTATCCGAGGTCGATATGAAGCCCGAAAATAGTGGGTTTTTTTGCCCCTACTAAGCTGTAGAGCGCCCCCAGCGACAATAAATTGAGTTTCAGCTACTTTTCAGCTCAAAATGCCCCCCCCCCCTTTTCAACTAGCAATTGTTGTAATCGGGTGATAGCCTACTGCTCCCTTACGATTTGGGAGAATCCGTTACGGAAAAAACCCTTGTTGATACCTTTAAAACACTTTTTCCCCCTCCCCGTAGTTTCCGCCCACTGAAAAGACCACTGCCGGGGCACAGCGCATGCGCGAAACGGCCATCTTTGTTATTCTTTTTAATAGCAGGCAACTTTTAGATTTTAACACAAAACCACATTCAGGACAAGCAGAATATCACCAAAGTCAATATTTTGAAGAAAAAAATGAAAGAAAAATATTATCCGAGGTCGATATGAAGCCCGAAAATAGTGGGTTTTTTTGCCCCTGCTAAGCTGTAGAGCGCCCCCAGCGACAATAAATTGAGTTTCAGCTACTTTTCAGCTCAAAATGCCCCCCCCCCCCCTTTTCAACTAGCAATTGTTGTAATCGGGTGATAGCCTACTGCTCCCTTACGATTTGGGAGAATCCGTTACGGAAAAAACCCTTGTTGATACCTTTAAAACACTTTTTCCCCCTCCCCGTAGTTTCCGCCCACTGAAAAGACCACTGCCGGGGCACAGCGCATGCGCGAAACGGCCATCTTCGTTATTCTTTATAATAGCAGGCAACTTTTAGATTTTAACACAAAACCACATTCAGGACAAGCAGAATATCACCAAAGTCAATATTTTGAAGAAAAAAATGAAAGAAAAATATTATCCGAGGTCGATATGAAGCCCGAAAATAGTGGGTTTTTTTGCCCCTGCTAAGCTGTAGAGCGCCCCCAGCGACAATAAATTGAGTTTCAGCTACTTTTCAGCTCAAAATGCCCCCCCCCCCCTTTTCAACTAGCAATTGTTGTAATCGGGTGATAGCCTACTGCTCCCTTACGATTTGGGAGAATCCGTTACGGAAAAAACCCTTGTTGATACCTTTAAAACACTTTTTCCCCCTCCCCGTAGTTTCCGCCCACTGAAAAGACCACTGCCGGGGCACAGCGCATGCGCGAAACGGCCATCTTTGTTATTCTTTATAGGGTGCATACCTGCAAATAAACTCCCATAGACACTAGTGCTAAATGCCCATACTTCAAAATTCTTTGAAAAATACTCAAAACTCTCACAGGTATTCAAGCTGCACAGAAAAATGATAATCAACATGTCATCTTTCGTTTTCTTTTCAATTTTTGGTGGGTTGACCATTGACTTTTCGAGATATTTTCACCCAAAGAAGACGACCCCTATTTTCCCATAAGCGGAAAAGTAGCCATCTTGAAAAACGATCCCTCCACAACATGGCAAAATAGCGCCACTTTTGAGCCCAATAGCATCGAAAATGCTCAGAATTGGAAGCCCCAAGTCCGGGCCAGAGGTTCATTACCATATCTTTTCAATTCCCCAATTTTACGGCGCTCAGAACTCTCTAATATAGAATATTTTGAGGGTATAACTTTTATTCATGAGCTTGGCGGATCGATTTACCGGTGTGCACCCTTTAATAGCAGGCAACTTTTAGATTTTAACACAAAACCACATTCAGGACAAGCAGAATATCACCAAAGTCAATATTTTGAAGAAAAAAATGAAAGAAAAATATTATCCGAGGTCGATATGAAGCCCGAAAATAGTGGGTTTTTTTGCCCCTGCTAAGCTGTAGAGCGCCCCCAGCGACAATAAATTGAGTTTCAGCTACTTTTCAGCTCAAAATGCCCCCCCCCCCTTTTCAACTAGCAATTGTTGTAATCGGGTGATAGCCTACTGCTCCTTACGATTTGGGAGAATCCGTTACGGAAAAAACCCTTGTTGATACCTTTAAAACACTTTTTCCCCCTCCCCGTAGTTTCCGCCCA